ACTAACCAGAAGATTATTATCCAGGTTTAATTACTCTTTCCTCTCCTTCCCTACATCCCCCCAAAGCAAGACATTCCTTAAAAAAATATAAAGAGAAATGCTGGCTTCAAAAATACTTATCCAAAAAGTTACCAAATAAGAGTAATTGTAAAGAGGAAAGGTGGTTACATGAATGAGAAGAGAGAACAAGAGGACGGTTTCCTGCTCCTCCAGAGGCTAGCCCCAGATCACCTGGGGGCCATTCTGAAGGGACTATAACTTGGATCAATTCTGGCATCTCAGCAAATTGAGATATCATTGACATTTATATGATACCAACTAAGCATATATTCCTCAAATTTGCTGGTGTTTACCTGCTTGATGGTACTTAATAAGGCTGAAATTTTGTCCATCACTCTTTAGAGTTTATTTCATTTTAATGAAAGGAAAATGGGCCATACTGAGTGCTGTTTCATAACTGTTATATTTTTATTCTTCAGTTAATTGTTTGAGCTACTTTACAATATTACAAACTTATAGTAATATGTAGTTTGTGTGGAGTCATAGAGTTGGAATGAACCTTTGAAATCATCTACCAAAGCCAGAGAGTTCATGAATATCAGAGAGTATAATCTCTCTGGCACATCTTTTAGGTGACTGTGTGGGTTTGTCTTTGGCAGATGCCTTAAAACAAGGCAATCAGACAGATCCTGAGCCTTTGAAATGTAGTAGGTCTGTTCAGTCCTGACCTTCCTCTGATATAGCTCTGAAATATAGGACATATAGGAGCAGAGATACAAAGCCACGAGTTAATGAAGGATAAGTTACTGTTATTGGAAATAATGTAATTTTAACAGGATAAAAACTGAAGTCTAGGTAAGTGAAAAAGTCATCAGTGTATGCAATTAAAAATGACACATTTAATGAACTGTTCCTGCATTTCTTTCCCTTTTTATTTTTTTTGTTTTAATATTTTATTTTATATAATTCTTACATCATTTTTCATTTTTGCACAATGTATGCATTTTCATTTTTGTTATATTCCCCATACAATTGCACCCCCCTTATTTTGACCCTAATCCTTCCTCTCCCTGCACCCCGCCTCCCCTAGTAGTGTGTCTCTGGTTTATAGTTGCTTGTTGATTTTGATTTTTTCTTTATTAAACTTAGTCTTTTTCCTGGTCCCTTATTTAGGTTTTCTAAATTCTTGCTATAAGTGAGACCATCCATATTTTTCTTTTCTTTCTGGCTTATTTTGCTGAGTATGATTCCTTCCAGCTCCATCCATGTTGCTGCAAATTGCATGAATTTATCTTTTTTGGTTGCTGAGTAATATTCCATTGTGTATATATACCACATCTTCTTTATCCAGTCAGCTATTTTTAGGCATTTGGGTGGTTTCCATAGCTTAGCTATTGTAAATAGTGCTGCTATATAACATAGGGGTGCAGGTGCCCTTTGGAATTAATGTTTCTGTGTCCTTTGGGTAAATACCTAGGAGTGGAATTGCTGGATCATATGGAAGCTCTATCTTTAGTAGGTTTAGGAATCTCCACACAGTTCTCCATAGTGTTTGCATCAGTTTGCACTCCAGCCAGCAGTGCAGGAGAGCTCCTTTTTCTCCGCATCCTCGCCAACATTTGTTGTTGCTAGTTTTTTTAATATGTGCCATTCTCACTGGTGTAAGATGGTATCTCATTGTAGTTTTGATTTGCACTTCCCTGATTTTAAGTGATGTTGAACATTTTTTCATATGCCCATTGGCCATTTGCTTTTCCTCTTTGGAGAAGTTTCTTTTCAGCTCTTCTGCCCATTTTTTGACTGGATTATTTTCTTTGTTTTTGTTGAGTCTCATCAGCTCTTTGTAGATTTTTGTGATCAGTCCTTTATCATTGGTGTTGTGTGCAAAAATTTTCTCCCAGTCGGTGAGATTTCTCTTTGTTTTGGTTATTGTCACTTTTTTTTTTAAAGATTTATTTATTTATTTATTTATTCAAGCACTGGGTACAGTCGGAAGCGCGGGAGGGCGAGAGAATTCACCAGAGCCAGAGCTGGGAGCAGAGCAGGCAGAAGGACCAAAGTACACTGCTGAGGGGAGCAGCGGGCGGCAGGAGAGGTCTGTGCGCCATGTGGGACCCTCCTCCGGTGGCTGGGGAGCAGCCGGGGATTGAACCTGCGCCGCAGAGGTCGCAGGCAGCTTCACAACCCAGCGCTCAACCGCTGCGCCACCGGGGAGGCCCTGGTTATTGTCACTTTTGCTGTGCAGAAGCTCTTTAATTTGATATAGTCCCAGCTGTTTATCTTTGCCTTTACTGTCACTGCTTTGGGTGATGTGTCTGTAAAGATGTTTTTGAGGTACATGTCAGATAGTGTTTTGCCTACATTTCCTTCTATGTAGTTTATGGTTTCAGGCCTTATATCTAGTTCTTTAATCCATTTTGAGTTGGTTTTTGTGTATGATGTAAGGTAGTAGTCAAGCTTCATTCTTTTGCATGTAGCAACCCAGTTTTCACAGAACCATTTATTGAACAGACTTTCTTTGCTCCAGTGCATATTCTTTGCTCCTTTGTCAAAGATGAGTTGACCGTAAATCTGTGGGTTTATTTCTGAATTTTCTATTTGGTTCCATTGGTCCATGTGTCTGTTTTTGTTCCAATACCATGCAGTTTTGATTATTATGACTTTGTAGTATAGTTTGAAATCTGGAAGTGTGATGCCTCCATTCCCTTCTTTTTTTTCCATGGTCCTGCATTTTTAACACCCCAAATCCATTCATTTCTGTATAGGCGGGGGGTTTGGGGAGAGGGAAGAAAATCCAGGCACATGCAACAGGGCCACCACCTTGCACACCTTCTAAAGTGATGTGACACTGTAGAACACTTCTGCCTCCTGCTCCCCCTGTTTGGCTGTAAACCACTAATTTGGATAGATTGGAAACATCAGATATGGTATCTCCTTTATTTGGTAAATATGTCTGTACCCATTTATTCATTATTTATGAGTGCTAATTGTATGCCTGTCATGCTTCCAACATCACAGGTACATCTGTGAATAAAACAAAGGTCCCTGCCCTCCTGGAACCTCTCTTGCACAGTATTGTCCAATAGATACATTAGGTGAGGCACATATTTAAGTACCAACTCTCAATTCTTTTGAATGTATGCCTAGGAGTGAATTACCTAATTATGTGATTATTCTGTGTTTAACTTTTTTTCCCCTTTAACTTTTTGAGGAGTTAAATATTGTTTTCCACAGTCACTGTTTATTTTACGCTTCCTCCAGCAATGTTCAGAGTTTTAGTTGCTTTGTGTTCTTTCCAACACTTCTTTTTTATTTTTTCATAATAACCACTTTAGTGGTGTGAAGTGATTCTGCAGTGTGGCTTGGTATGCATTCCCTATTGACTTAACAGTGCTGTGGTGAACATTTCTCTTCATGAGTTGTCATTTATATTTCTTCTTTGCAGGAATCTCTTTTCAAGTTCCTTACCTATGTTTAAATTAGATTGGATTGTCTTTTTGTTGAGTTGAAGGAGCTCCATATATATTCTGGATATTTGGCCTTAATTAGATGTATGATTCACATATATTTTCTCCCATTCTGTGTGGGTTTTCTTTTCACTGTCTTAATAATGTCCTTTAGTGCACAAAAGTTTGTAATTTTGATGAAGTTAACTTTTTCTCTAGTTGCTTGTACCTTTAATGTATGGGCACACATCACTTAACAATGGGGATATGTTCTGAGAAATGTATTGTTAGGTGATTTTATCATGTGTGAACTATTTAGAGTATAATTAAACAAACCTAGGTGTTACAGCACACCTAGGGTATATGGTGTATCCTACTGAGGGCCACTGTTGTGTATGTAATCGTCACTGACAAAAATGTTAAGCAGTGCATGACTATATTTAAAGATCTCTTTCCAAATCCAAGGTTATATTTTCTCATAAGTCTCTTTAGTTTTTAACTCATATTTAGGTTGTTGATCCATTTTGAGTAAATCTTAATATATGCTGTGAGATAGGTTAAGTTCATTTTTTTGCATGTAAATATCTAGTAGCTCTGCATCACTACTTAGAATTCTTCCTTTTCTTCTCCTCTCCTCCTCGGTCTTTTTTCTCCTAACTCTTCCTCTCTGTCCTTCCCCTGACAGCCTTTGTTTGTGTTTCCATCTTCTTAGTCATTCTGACTTTATAATTTTTGAGTTTTCATTGAGGTATGGGTCAGCAATCCAGGTCTTGGGTGGGAATCACCTGGGAGGAAGCAGGAGCAGTAGTACTTGTGTAAGTGCTTCTTGCAGGAAATTCTTGCAGCACCCCTTGTTTTGTTTCCTTTGTGTAAAACTGTTGGTTTTAATTTTCATCAGCAATTGGAGGCAGCACAATTAAGAGTTTACTTTTTTATATGCTTTGCCACCTCAGTGTTAGGTATGGAAATTGTGGCTTATTAGGGTCACTTTATATGGGGTATGATGTGCTTTAGGAAGGACATTGATATTTTTAAAGAAAGAAAAAATTTAATGATGACATTTTCTTTCATAAGTAAAGTGCGATAAAGCATATTTGTGGGGGGAAAAAGAGTTTCTTGGTTCTTTACCTGTTAGTCTTTTCTTTGAGCTTTAGTAGTCACTAGAAAGATGTGCTTGTTAGATTTCTTGGAAGAGTTTATCTAACATGGTATTTCAATCTAGTCTTTAAAGTATTTCTTTCCAAGACATATATTGGATGGTGCCACTTCTATGTGGAATATAGAGAAAGAAACCAAAGGGTCTGATAGAACCAAAACAATAACAAACCGCAAACCCTAGAAATAGGATGGTAGAATTGAGGCTACACAGGGGGTGATAAAAAGGGGAGAGCAGAGTAGGGAAGGGGCATGATGGACTATGGTAGAGGACTAAGAGTGTCTTCATGTTGGGATGTGATAATATACACTTGAAATGTATGATCCTATACCTCTAAATCACCTATAGCTTTGTGTCAATTATTACCTAAATAAAAAAGAAAAAATATTTCTTTTCAGCTGACAGAAGATGAAATTGCAACTATTCTGAAATCAACTTTGAAAGGACTAGAATACTTACACTTTATGAGAAAAATACACAGAGATATAAAAGCTGGAAATATTCTCCTCAATACAGAAGGACATGCAAAATTGGCAGATTTTGGAGTGGCTGGTCAGTTAACAGTAAGTACAATAAATTTGGAATCACTTTGGGTTTATATGTCTTTGGGAAGAATCAAGTAACTTTATTGTTCTTGGAGAGATGGAGCCATAATTTTGAGTATTTATTATTTTTATTTAAAATGTAAGAGACAATGATTAAATCTGAAAATATGTTTTATCAAAATGCTTAAATGTTCTAAAAGGAAAGCTATATTGACTAAATTTTGTAGCCTTTATTATTATAGTACTGCCTATAATGATTGTCTTTAATCAAGGTAGTTGATAAAGTAAATTGTGAACTCTTGACTATTTCATAATTCAGAATTCTTAAATATGTCATAACTAGTTGAAATTTTGAGAAAATAGTGAATTTTAGATATACTCTGAAGTATTTGAGACTTTAACAAAGTAGTTTAGAGTATGTTGACAAACAGATTTCTTTAAATTTTTGTGTATTTATAGCTTTCTATTTATGTTTTTACAGGATACCATGGCAAAACGCAATACTGTGATAGGAACTCCATTTTGGATGGCTCCTGAGGTAATTCAAGAAATTGGCTATAACTGTGTGGCAGACATATGGTCCCTTGGCATTACTTCTATAGAAATGGCCGAAGGAAAACCTCCCTATGCTGATATACATCCAATGCGGGTAAGAAAATGATAGCTTGCTAAAAGTATGATGTTGTGTTATAGTTTTGTCATGTGAATGTAAGTAAATATAAATTAAATAAATTCACTTGAATTTAGGTTCTGTGCAAAAAATAATAAAATTATCTTTTAAAGATTCATCACTGTTAACTTTTCCTCCCTTATTCCCAACCTTAATTGGAAGGAAAAGAAGTATATATTTCTTTGTGCTTTCCTCCTTCAAAAACATACCTAAAAAATTTGCCCATGCTTTCAATAAAAGAAAAGGTCAGTAAATCTACATTCTTCTTTCAGTTCATTATTTTCTCAATGTGGCAGGGGAGGCATTGGAAAAAATTGATTCTTCCCACCCTGCAAATTCTGCTTTCCCATGTTTATGTTTCTCCCCCTTTTTTTCTCTGGTCTGAGACTAATATTTAAAAATTCCTCATTTCTAATACTGCTGTGTACCTGTACGTGAACTACTGTTATTTCTTTAGTTAGTGCTTAGTGAGAAAATTGAATTCCTTTTTTGAACATAAATATACACTTTCTTTGAACTCCTTTTTCAGGATAATTTTTGAGTTTGAAGTATTAACAGACCTCAAATATTCAACTGTAATTGCTTGTGCTTTAGATTTTGTGTTGATACAGATTTTAGGCTTATTAATATGCAAATCTCAGTTCATCTTAGATAAGTAAATTTATCTCTGTAAATTTATTGCCCTCTAGTGGCTGTAGCTACCTCAAGAAGTAAAGGATCTAGGAATAGAAGGGAGAAGACAGAGAAAGGAAGAGAAAGCAAGAGTGTCTATATGTGTAGAGAAGATGTCAGAGTGACTAGAGATATGTGTGAAGTAGATGGGAGGGAAAAAATGCTGCATTTTAGATCTGAAGAAGAATACATTGAAATGATATATGGTATTACAAAACTACTGTGGACAGAATTTTAATAATATAGGTAATAGTGTATTATATGGGAAATATTAAAAAAATTTGCCAGATACTTAAAGAGATCTCTTTGAGTAGTGCAGTTACATATACAGATATGTATCATCTTCCCTGTGCATTTCAATTCCTTTTGCTAAAGTGAGCACTAAAGATGACGTAAATTGTTTGAAAATAATAAGGTAAGCTTAAATCAGCAACACATTCTTATTTCGTCTTTGATTGTTAGTTACCTGTGGTACTTATAGTTCAGATGTATTTAGGGTCATCCTCAAACTTTAAGTATTTGAGTTTAAGTTAGCAAGGGTAATTCACTTGTCCAAGGCAACCTAGCTAAGTGCTAGAGCTGAGATTTAAACTAGGACTTAGATTATTATTGTTCTGCTTTCTCCTTGTATAAATCTTATTTTTCCAACCTAACAGTTTAACATATTAAATTTGACCTTGAAGTAGCCCCTTTAGCAAATAATGAATTGTGATATGTGACCCTTGCCTTCCACGATCTTCAGGATCTTAAAATATCACTTAACAGTTTGAATGAACAGATTCATAGCAGTAAAAATATACTTGAATATAGTGTTCTCTTTAAAATTTATTTTCTTTTTATCTACCTACTACCAATCTACCCATCTAACCAGCCAGCCATGCCAGTCAACAGACTTTCTAGGGCACTTATTGCTACCAGTTTAAATCCTATCTATTTTTCAAGTCCCAGCTCAGATTTTATTGCTCTATAGAGCTTTCTTTTAAGTCATCAACTAAGTATATTTCTCTTTTCCCCCCTAAAATTTGGATGTAGGCAATTCTTGACTTTACAATTCTGCAGACAGTTTATTCAGTGTTGTCTGATACATTTCAAAATGTAGTATGTTTTTTTTTTTTAAAGATTTATTTATGCATACAAGAACTGGGGTACAGGCCAGAGATGCAGGGGGTGGGGGGGGTGAGAGTATTCGCCAGAGACAGAGTGGGGAACAGAAAAGGCAGACTGACCGAAATACACTGCTGAGGGGAGCAGCAGGAGAGACAGGAGAGGTCTGCTTCACCATATGGGTTGCTCCCTGGCCGGCCGGGGATCGAACTCATGTTGCAGAGGCTGCGTATTGCTTCACCGTGCGGTGCTTAACCCCTTGAGCCACCAGGGAGGCCCTCAAAATATAGTATGGTTTTAAGTTGTTATTTAGATTACTATGTTATCATTATTTAACCTTGCTCATGTTTGTAAATGGCCTTATAAATTAGACTATAAGTGTTGGGAAACCGTCAAGATCATGTGGCAGATATATTTTCTAAAATTTGAATTTCCCTTGAAAGCTCAAATTTTATTGTAGGTAACAAATAGAGTTCCTTGAGATAACATATTCACTTAGTTTGTTTTTGAGAAAACATCTGTCAAATAACCAACTCTGAAAATCTGTAGCTTTTCTGTTATTTTTTCACATAAAAGTGGAATTCCTTGAAACAAAAAAGTTCCAGCTTCTTATCTTGCAATTCAGTCATACAAATACTTGTCCTCTAGTCAGTGTTCTTTTGTATGCAAGGCAAGTACTGTATGAATGTTTCCCTTTTAGTTACACAGATTATTAAAAAGATAAATATTCAAAAGTGAAACTTTAATGACATTTCTTCTGTTTTATTTATCAAAGTTTAGAACAGTTTGGTGGGGGATGAGATGAGAAGACAAAAGAAAAAGTATTTTAAGAGAGAAAAAAGATTGGGTGGCGCAGCGGTTGAGCGCTGGGCTGCGAGGCTGCCCGCAGCCTCTGCAGTGCCAGTTCGTTCCCCGGCCGCTGGCAAGGGTCCCACAAAAAAAAATAAATAAATAAATAAAAAAGAGAGAGAAGAAAGATTATTTAGTACCCAGCAAAAGTTGGGAAGTGAGGGATGGAAATGTCATCAGTCCTTGTTTGTAGACATTCTTTTAGAAAGCTCAGTGGTGGAATAGATTATATTATGGCCTTGATTCAATTTTGAATTTTGGTGAATGGGTGTCTTGCAGGTATGTTACAGGGATTCAGAAACTTTACTTCATTTATTAATGTTCAATCGTTTTTGTAAGGGTTTTACTTAGTTGAATTGTCTGCTGTGTAAATGTCCAATATTTGTCTGTCATTCTGACTTATTTTACTACATATAATTCCTTTGAACCCCTTTCATTTTGTTGTGAATGGCAAACATTTCACCTTTCTTTATGGTTGAATAGTATTCCTTTAGTATGGATATACCACATTTTCTTGGTCTAGTGTTCTGTTGGGCATTTAGACTGCTTCCATGTCCTATTTATTGTACACAGTGATATAATAAATGTTGTAGCATATAGTTTTTTGAGTTGATGGTTTCATGTTCTTTGGACTGATACCCAGGAATTGTATTTTCATTTAGTTTTTTAAAGGTAAATCTAGATTGCTTTCTAAGATGTCTGCACCAGTGTGCATATCCACCAACAGTGTTTTGGAGTTCTTTCTTTGCATCCTCTCCAGCGCTTGTTGATGGTCTAATATCGATTTGTTCCATTCTCACAGGTGTGAGATGTTGTATGGTTTTAACCTAAGCACCTCCGTTATTAGATGAGCTGGTGAACGTTTTTCCTTGTGTTTATTAGCCTTCTCAATATGATTAAATTGGAAAGTACCAAACTTTGTTACTTCTTTAATCATTACTGAAAGAGAATATTTTTGGAATACAGATGTTTTAAGGAGGACTTTCCTAGTAAATAGAGTTTTAAAAAAAGACTGGATTTATTTGATGGGAAGGGATAAACAAAATTTGTTAATTTTAATAGCTCTGTTTTTTTTTTTTAAAGAGAAACAGTATGCAAACCAAGTCTTTGCTGTTGTAGGTAGTAATAATTATCTGTCTAGAAAAGAGCAACAATAAAGTATTCATTAAAACATAGATTTGAAAACGGCAGAGGAATGAAATGTGCTTATAAATTTTTATCTAGCTGTTAGCTTAAATTTAATGAGTAATGGCAAGTGGAAGTAAATCTGCTCAAAATGTTAATTTGAACAAATTTTGTGAAAACCCACTGTATTTTAAGAAAAATACAAAGCCGGGCCTCCCCTGTGGCACAGCGGTTGAGTGCTGGGTTGCGAGGCTGCCCGCAGCCTCTGCAGCACCAGTTCGATCTCTGGCCGCAGGGCAAGGGTCCCACATGGCACGCAGACCTCTCCTGCCACCCGCTGTTCCCCTCAGCAGTGTACTTCGTCAGTCTTCCTTTTCTGCTCCCTGCTCTGGCTCTGGTGAATTCTCTTACCCTCCCACGCTTCTGACTATACCCAGTGCTTATATAAATAAATATTAAAAAAAAAAATACAAAGCCACTGAGTTTATTTTGCTCAATTAAGAAATAAAGGATTAGGGCCTCCCCGGTGGCGCAGCAGTTGAGCACTGTGTTGCAAAGCTGCCCTCAGCCTCTGCAGCGCAGGTTCGATCCCTGGCTGCTGGGCGAGGGTTCCACATGGCGCGTAGACCTCTCCTGCAGTCTGCTGCTCCTCAGCAGTGTACTTCAGTCCTGCCTGTTCTGCTACCCGCTCTGGCTCTGGTGAATTCTCTCACCCTCCCGCGCTTCTAACTGTACCCAGTGCTTGTATAAATAGATAAATAAATCTTAAAAAAAAAAGAAATAAAGGATTAAACATTTTAATTTTGAGTTCAGTAAACCACATATTTCTGTGGAGATCAGCCTTCTGTGTTTTTCAATCCTTTAGGAAATATTTTTTAAAAAATCAGGAAATGAGTGAATAATTTCATTTTCCTAAAAATTCATCACTGCCTTACCCATCCTCCAAATCCAAGTGCTTCATTCTGGTAATATTACCAAGACCATATTAATTTTTTTGAACAGTTTTGCTTTACAAGTTTTTGCATTTAGTTATCCTTTACTCAGCATGGTGAAAATGGTAAGGAAAGAACTGTTCAGTTAGCCTAAGGAGAGCAGTGATGATTTTTTGACATTAAATAAATGAAAGGAAATAAAAATAAAACTAAGATTTTACTTCTATACAATATAATACTGAGTGTTTATTACCTTTTTAAAAGTAAGATGTACATATATTGTAGTACATTTTGGGA